AAAGAGAGGGGAGTTCTGTCTCGAGTTCTGAGGGAAGTATGACCCAACAAATTTTCACTCAGCCAGACTGTCACTCAAGTCTACGGGCAATAGTCATTCATGAACCTGAAAGTATGCCAGGACTATTACATCCTGTACTTCTTGAAAAACTGCCTGGTGTTGGAATTCAGTTAATCAATGGAGGAGTCCAAATAAAGAACCCAATGGAATTGAGAAACCATTATATTAGATGGTGGGTGATGAATATTTAATAATAAATTTATGTATAGAATTATTATGTTTATATTTAATGTTATAAAATAATGTTGAAAATGTAAAAACTTGTTGCAAGCACCACTGAAATTTTGGGATTACTTGTTGCTGCAAGCTAAACTAGCACAAGCTAATTGATACACCAATATTGGTCTAATAAACCAGAATTTATTTGAATGAGAGACTGAATGGTGTTTTGGGGAAAGAATATGCCCTAAGATTATAAATGTCTTGGTTGGTCTTAAAGAGGCTAAGGGAGTATAATACAGGGTGATGTGTATTACTTAAATATGTTCTTGGCCACATCCCATGAAGTTACATCTTATCCCTGGGAGAAAGAGAGCTGCAGTGCAAGTAAAAGCAAAATGTTTCACTAAAAATCTAAAAGGTATTGTGACCAGAGCAATGAGCTTTGAGATTCTCTCCCAGAGTGCAGCACAATGGCAGAAGAAAGAGTCTGTCTCTCCCTGATCCTCTGATGACTTTGCATCTTGAAAGTACCAGAACACGTGTGTCTGTGCCCACTGGGAAGTGCTGTGGATAGGAGTCATGTTCAGGGGTGGAGATTAGAGTCCAGTGGGAAAAGGCATAGTACAGTGCTTGTGTAGGGTGTGTTAGATGCTGGATGTGTGCTATACAGAAAATGAAAGTGAAAGTAGCTCAGTCGTTTCTGACTCCTTGCATCCCCAAGTACTATACAATCCATGGATTTCTCCAGGCTAGAATACTGGAGTGGGTAGCCTTTCCCTTCTCCAGGGGATCTTCCCAACCCAGGGATTGACCCAGGTCTCCCACATTGCAGGCAAATTCTTTAAAAGCTGAGGCACAAGGGAAGCTCAAGAATACTGGAGTGGGTAGCCTATTCCTTCTCCAGTGCATCTTCCTGGCCCAGGAATTGAACTGGGGTCTCTTGCATTGCAGGTGGATTCTTTACCATCTGAGCTATCAGGGAAGTTGGAAGACATAGTGATGATGTTCTCAGTTGCAAGTAGCAGGATTGTTAACACTGAAAACAATAAAGGATATTTATAGACAGTATATGTAAATGTCCAGCAATGCAGTGAGATTAGGGCAGTTAGATTTAGAAATCAAGTCACTTGGGACTTGATTTCTTTTCATCTCTCTGTTTTGGATGAGATTAGCTTCATCCTTCAAATGGGTCCTCTTGTATTTGCAAGTTGGCTAGGCTACCTCCAGTTCCTTGGTTGACACACGTAAGTAGGTGAGAAAACAAAATCACTGAACATAGCTCTAGAACTTCATTCTAATTGGACTGGTTTAGGCCATTTATCCAAGCTAATAATGTGAGAATGAGAGAAAAAGAATAACATTATGCAGCTGGCTTAAACCAGCAGTTTTCAACCAAGGGCATTTTTGCCCCACAGAGGAAATTTGACAGTCTGAAGGCATATCACAAATGGTGTATGTATAAGTGACTGGCGTCTAGTGGATAAAGGCCAGAGATGCTGCCAAACATTCTACAATGCACAGGCCAGCCCCACTCCAAACAAAGAACTATCTGGCCCAAAATGTCAATGATGCTGAGGTTGAGAAACCCTGGCTTGGACCAATCAGGATCCCCTTTAGAGTCGAGGTGGGGTCAGGACCTCCCAACTACCTGCCTGTTGCATGCAGGAAGGATGAAATTGATGCTGAGAAGGCAGCATAATACCACTACCCCCTCCCCCCAGCAAGCATTGCTGGACCACTAGGTGGACACTGGACTTGTGTATAGCCATGGGCAAAGCATTCCTGGGGCCTCGCAGAAGTGCTTGGAATGGAGATTGTAAGATGCCCAATTCTTGCATGACATGGACCAGAGGAATCAAGGTGATTATTAATAGGGTGACTTCATTTGTTCCCAGAGGCTAGTGAGGCCTTGGCCAGCCCAGGTTACACAATTGTAGGATTTTAGAGTAAGAGCTGGAGGCTTGGGTACGATTACCTGCTTGAGTTGGGGAGAGTAGTCTAGGGATGAGCTCTGGGGCAAAGGAAGAGCTGTAGAGGTGGGCAGCTTCAGAATATGAGGGCTGGAGGCCTGGCTGGGGACGGCCATCTTTTCCCAAAGATGATAAGGATCCCTTGTGAAAGTGAAAGTCTGTCAGTCGTGTCTGACTCTTTGTGACCCCATGGACTATAGAGTTCATAGAATTCTCCAGGCCAGAATACTGGAGTGGGAAGCCTTTCACTTCTCCAGGGGATCTTCCCAACCCAGGGATTGAACCCAGATCTCCCACAATGCAGGCAGATTCTTTACTAGCTGAGCCACAAGGGAAGTCCAAGAATACTGGAGTGAGTAGCCTATCCCTTCTGCAGAGGATCTTCCCGACCCAGAATGGAACCAGGGTGTCCTGCAGTGCAGGCAGATACTTTACCAGCTGAACTACCCGGGAATCCCCAAGGATTCCTTGAGAGATGTTCAAAAGGGGAATGACAGGGACTTCCCTAGTGGTTCCGTGGTGAAGATTCCACCTGCCAATGCAGGAGACACAGGTTCAATCCCTTATCAGGGAAGGTCTCACATGTGAAGGAACAACTAAGCCCATGTGCCATAATTATTGAGCCTGTGCCCTGAAGCCTGAGAGTGGCATGTACCGAGCTCACACTCTGCAACTACTGAAGCCCATGTAGCCCAGAGCTGGGCTCCACAACAAGAGAAATCACTACAATGAGAAGCCCTCACGTCACACACAACTAGAGAGTAGCCCATGCTCTACACAATTAGAGAAAAACCCATGCAGCAACAAAGCCTCACTCAGCACAGCCAGCTCAGCTCAGTTCAGTCGCTCACTCGTGTCTGACTCTGTGACCCCATGAACTGCAGCACGCCAGGCCTCCCTGTCCATCACCAACTCCCGGAGTCCACCCAAACCCATGTCCATTGAGTCAGTGATGCCATCCAACCATCTCATCCTCTGTCGTCCCCTTCTTCTCCTGCACTCAATCTTTCCCAGCATCAGGGTCTTTTCCAATGAGTCAGCTCTTTGCATCAGGTGGCCAAAGTATTGGAGTTTCAGCTTCAGCATCAGTCTTTCCAATGAATATTCAGGACTGATTTCCTTTAGGACGGACTGGTTGGATCTCCTTGCAGTCCAAGGGACTCTCAAGAGTCTTCTCCAACATCATAGTTCAAAAGCATCAATTCTTCAGTGCTCAGCTTTCTTTATAGTCCAACTCTCACATCCATACATGACTACTGGAAAAACCA